TGATTATATTTTATCCATTTAGTGCACACCCACTTGGAGTGTGTTGTGGCTGATTATATTTCACCCATTTAGTGCACACCCACTTGGAGTGTGTTGTGGCTGATTATATTTTATCCATTTAGTGCACACCCACACAACAACTTGGTAAAACGTCATTATTGCTTGTATCAAGCACACTTCTACCAGAATAGACTATACCATTGTATCAATAAATCGTCTAAAAGCATGAAAAGAGCACAAACACTGATTAGAGCTCAAAATAACGTTGAGTATAGCATACAACAATTTTAAGTTGGCCACTTAAGTTTATTTCTTTATAATTTTAACTGGTTTTAGTTAATATCAATATATATTAAAGTATCGTACAAATTAGAATTATTTTAAAGTTACAGCTAATCTTAAACTGCTTTTCTTCATTAATGAGATAAATAACATAGAAATTGGTGAGTTATGAAACTGGTTTGAAAATGCTAAAAAAAACGACATAATGTAACTTGTAAACCCACGCTGGCCAGATCATCTGTGTAGCTGTGTGTTCCAACTTGTAAACCCACGCTGGCCAGATCATCTGTGTAGCTGTGTGTTCCAACTTGTAAACCCACGCTGGCCAGATCATCTGTGTCGCTGTGTGTTCCAACTTGTAAACCCACGCTGGCCAGATCATCTGTCTTAAGTTAAATATAAAATGTTTAGCAGCAATACTATTAATGCACATTTTCTACCCACTTCAAGGGTGGTGTTTGTAAGTATAACAGTATGAAACCACTGGTCCTTTTGATAATTCTCAGTAATATTACGTTTGATTTGGAATATAAGTTGTACCAAGGTGTTCTGATATCCTTATATAACACAGAAACGCCAAGTATTTTGTAGCCAAGAATTGATGCTTCACCAACATATCAATTTGATTAGGGATTTTATTAGAGAATATCTCAACCATTAGGACAACAATTTTTTGATCGAATTTATAGTAATATGCCACAGATACTCTTCACGTTCATTAATTTCCCTAAAAATTAAAACGAATTTTTTTCTCGTTCTTTTTTTTTAAAACTGAATCATTCACATTTTGCGCCTAAAAGAAATAAAAGGTAAATCCTTCAAAAGGAACATAAAACAGTGACACTTCCAACACTAATGAGTTTAAATTTGAGAACAACGACAAAATTTGAGCTATATCTCAATAGAATATGGCTGTGCGTTAATAAAGACAACCATTCACAGAATAAATTATTAAGGAACGCAAAGTGGAAGTTATATTTATTTCAAACGTTTGGAAGGTGTGTTGGTGCCTGACAAAACGCATCCTTCCCAACTAACCACCGTACAAGCTAGAGTGGTCCTTCCTCTTCCGTTGTATCCATTCACGAACCAGTATCGAAGGTAATAACTTAAAAAATATCCCTAATTATTTGTCATTGTGGTTTCTAAGCTTTTTACACTGAATGTTTTTTCTGGACAAATAAAGAAACTAGTATCACGTAAGTAAGTATCCGTTTTTTGTGGTGATTCTTTTAAAAGACATAGCAAAGAAATACCGTCAGATATTACTGTACACCCAGAAGTTCAAACTGCTGCTGATATTTATGTCGGCTTTAGTTTCTTTTTCTTCACCATCATGAATAGTTCAGAAGGAAAGATAACGACAAGGCTGTCATCTGAGAAGCTTCCAAGAAACAGAAAGAAGAATAAATTTCCAAACCTCCCATTGACTTCTAGAGGACGCTTGTGAAGTATTGGCATCTCGTTGAATGGCAGCCTGTTTTTCCCCTAACATGAAGACAAAAAAATATTAACAAACAATATTTCTATATATATTACAGGATGAGCCAAAAATCCAAGTGTAAGTGTTTTTTTATTTTGTCTCCTCTAAACAACGATAAAAAAATCATTTGTAATGGACAATATAAACGTTGTAATTAAATTTCCTTAAACAGTTTTGTAAGAAACGGTGCTAAACATACTACTGTAATTGGCTATCTATACAATACTTCACAGTTAAATTTTTATTTCATTATGAACTAAGTTATTTCAATGTGTACACGTGTTTTATTATATTTGGTTGAGTCAATGTTAGTAAAACATACAAATTACAAAATACGTAACTGAAAAAAAAAAGATTCAAAACTCCAATATATTAATTATTACAGAAAATACAAAACAAATTACAGTCAGCTGGTCTTCTCAGTTTCAATGCAAGGCTATACATCCTTAATAATATTAACAACAAGCCTAGCCATGGTTTCAAGTTTTCCATTGGCCACTTTTTCCTTCCAGTTATTGTTTCACCAGTATGAATCATTACCCAACAAGTCTTGTCCTAGAGGGATTGAAGTAATAAATAAGAATATTATTGTACCTGTAAGGGGGTCATCAGTTTTGTGTAGGTTCTGAAATGCAGCCCGCTCTTGTATTACCCCATTCAGTATGCTTCACTCAAATAGATGTTGTTTGTTGATCAGGCTGCTGTTCTCTTCGATCTTTGTCGCCAAACAAATTAAATTAAAGTTGGTTTGTAAAGAGTCCAACTTTTCTCGTCCCATTGTTTGAAGTATGATGGCCACTTCAACCTCTTGGTTTTGTATGTCTCCTAATCAGTTGTTCAGCCATTGAGGCCTCTTTGTACTAAGACATATCTCACTCTTCTGGAGGTAAAATTCACACCTGTACTTACAACTACGTCATTGGCAAGGTCTCTACTGGATTTCTGAATTACTTAACATCCTTTTGAAGTGTTTGGGCTTTCTACCTTGACCTCTTCCATTATCAACAGTGTTAGTTTCCAAACTACTTCCTGCTACAATATGAAATTTCGACTGTCTGTCGCATAGTGTAGTCTTTATCAGCAAAAACTTCGATTCACAAACGTTTGTCATGTGGAATTTTTGTCCTTGAAACCATGAAGGCATTCACCACATACTACTGCGAAAGATAGTGTAATTGTCTTTTTATGGACCATTAAGCTGATGTGGCACTGTCTGATCGGTTGTATGACAACCATCGACGTTATGGACCATTAAGCTGATGTGGCACTGTCTTATCGGTTGTATGACAACCATCGACGTTATGGACCATTAAGCTGATGTGGCACTGTCTGATCGGTTGTATGACAACCATCGACAGTATAAATTGTTAACGCGTGACTGGTGCACGTTCTCATACAGTAAAGGGAGAATAATTCCATAATATATGTATTTTACATATAAAAATATTTCATTATGTCTTTAGTAAATTTTCGGTATTTCATATGTGTGTTATTTCTTGAACAAGATAAGGCTCCATTTTTTTTGTCTATATATTTCTCATGAATATTTATATATTATATTCTGGTAATATATATATTACAACACAATCAGAACAGTACGTTACAATATATAGCAGGAACTGTTTAGAAAACTTCTTGGTAAAAATATAACATTCTGGCATGCATAATGATTTGCGAGGAAATATTACTTCGTTTATCACTTTTTTACACATATTACGGCACAAATCGATAGTTGCATCACAAATCAAAGAAAATTTTAAAATATTTTTTCTTTAGTATATACAAAACTGGCAGAAAATAAGTTTAGGTACAAGCGTATAGGTAATGGGAAAAACTTCAACCTTGCCGGTTGTTACAGATGTAAAAATATATATATAAGGAAAACACTTATAAAAAAAACGTAGGTGGCCCTCTAAAGTGACCTTGAAACTCAACAAGTTTTATTTCATCTTAAAAACACAATAGTATTGATACAGATCACATGAAATGTTCAATATGTCTTCCATCTATTTCAACATCAGAATCCATACGTGGAAGGGTTAAGTAGATGGCAAAACGAAGCATGTCTTCGGTGATGTGCGTCATGAAAGGATGAATATTTTTTTTGCTGAAGTGCTTACATTGGATGATTGTAACAGTTCTACTAACTGAGTGAATGAGTGAACTCTGATATCAACTTCACACTTTTCACTGTAGTTTCTAATGAACCCACGTAATGAACAGATATACATGTAATCTTGCAGTGCTAAACATGATATTTTTTTGTTCATAAATGTGTTTGGCAGTTGTTGTTTTTTACAATTGTTCCAATCGGAAAATCTGCAACTAACATGATTCTCCAATACCTACATGTTTATACACAAACAGAGCAAGAAAAGATGTGGTAGTAGCAAATAGTTATTCGAGTTTCAATTATTACAGCACATGATGTAAACTGTCTTTAAGCCAGGGAGATTCTCTAATACCTACTTGTTTATACACAAACAGAGCAAGAAAAGATGTGGTAGTAACAAATAGTTAATAACTGAAACTCGAATACATCACATGATGTAAACTGTCTTTAAGCCAGGGAGATTCTCCAATACCTACATGTTTATACACAAACAGAGCAAGTGAGTTCTATTGATAGAGATGACCGAGGAAGGCTCAACGAAGCTTACTTTCTGCTATAAATGTGTGTACCTGCCTGAACGTGAACACTTTTACTATTTTATGCAAGAGTAGCACGGTGTGACCAACCCCTTGAACTCCATAGTAACAAGGCACAATTGAGAGACTACTTCTTTCGGCAGCAAAGTGTGATTTTTTTTAGATTAACAGATCAAACTCTTTATATGAGTACATTATTAGTTTTAACTTGGATACCGGAAAAGATGACACCCCTCTGTAGCCCACTCAATCGGTCTCAATGACTCACAGATTGAGTATTAACTAGGAATAAATCAAAATTAATAAAAATATTTTTAGCTAAATCTCATCTTGAATAAAATGTGTTTTGCATGTTTTCTTATAGCAAAACCAAATTGGGCCATCTGCTGTGTCCACCGAAGGGAATCAAACCCCTGATTTTAGCGTTGTAAATCCGAAAACTTACTGCTGTCCCTCCGGGGAACATCTTAGATAGAAGTAAAAATGTTTGACGATTAGGAAAAAAATATTTCTTTTCATAGAACTTCGGCGTTTTAATTTTATTCTGTTGTTTTACAAATAAAAGCATACATCATAAAATTATGATACCTGTAAATAATCCAATATGTTATACCTGCCAAAGGAGACTACCTGTTTACAAAAATATGATCTTTTAATATACATCTAACATCTCTATCTATCTATTAAAATTGTTAAGATTTTGTTTTATTTATTTTAATCTCCGGAATCTATTGTCATGTAACAAACTTCAGTAGTGTCAAGAACACTGTTTCAAACTGTTTTAAAAGACTCCACGACCTTTTTCTCTTTTTATTACTGAAATATTTTATCCACTAAGATTGTAGAACTAATTAACTTAAAAAGATTCAACCAACAAAATAAATTAACTTTTCTAAAACCAGTTCCCTGAAGGATTTAACGATAGGATTTCAGACGTTTCAGATGCAACCATGAATGTCTTAAGCCTTTTTTTGCGATAAAAATATAAACTGATTAAAATCGTGTTTTAAACTGCCTATAGGACAATTCTAACAACATGGGTAGACAGCATTAACTTGTCACAGAAACAAAAAAGTTCACAACATCCTCCATAATGATCGAAAGCTAGTGACAAACTTCTTAAAAGAGGACTTAGAAATTCTAGCTAGGATGCTAACTGTGTCATACTTTCCTTACATATTAAAAACCGCTACCTTACATACTGTCATACCGTTTAAATGTACATTCTCTAAATCACCAAAACTTAACCTTAGAATATGTTATTTTGGGTGTACAATAAGGTCGATTGGCTGTTTCGTCTCAAATCTAACATACAAACATTTATTTATTGTTAACCACAAAGCTACACAATTGTCTGACATCGAAACCATGTAAACGTAGAATTTAAGCAAGGTTTATAGTCGCTTATGATGCTAAATATAGTATGAAGAAAGGCAACTCACTACGTTTTGTGAAAGACCAACACTAGTAACCACAACTGCATAACGCCATCGTACAATAATTAACCATGTCTATACAGGGCCACCTTACAACAACTGACCATGTCTGTACAGACCACCTTACAACAACTGACCACGTCTCTACAGGGCCACCTCACAACAACTGACCACGTCTGTATAGGGCCACCTTACAACAACTGACCACGTCTGTACAGAGCCACCTCACAACAACTGACCACGTCTGTACAGGGCCACCTTACAACAACTGACCACGTCTGTACAGAGTCACCTTACAACAATTAACCACGTCTGTACAGGGCCACCTTACAACAACTGACCACGTCTGTACAGAATCACCTTACAACAATTAACCATGTATGTACAAGGTCACCTTACAACATCTAATCATGATTCTGTATAAAACTAAATTACAGCAAATAACTTTGTATAAATAATACTAACTCACAACAAGTAAACTGACCTGTGGAAGAGCAACTTCAAACAACTAACTGCGTTTGTGTTAGAAGTAACTACGTTTGTGGATTAACAACTTGCAACAGCAAATCTTGTCTGTGCAAAATCAACTAGATTTCGAATAAAAGACGGTTTCAACAAGATATTTGTAAGTAGTTACTAGTCACTGAACTCTGGTAAATACATATAAAGTAGTAAAGTAATCTCGTATAAGCTATTCAGAAGCATAAAATGGGCAATTCAAATCGGTATTAATCGTTGTATTAGTTGTTTTAATATTAAGTCATAACATATGTGATTCGTTAAATTTGTGATTATAAAATAATTAGCTTTCTGTTGCTTACTGAATTTCGACACAAATTGAACCCTTTGTTGAAAACTATTAATAAAATATATCGTAATACAGTTATACATAAAATCAAATAATACTGTTATCCAACGGTATTGAAATATCTCAGATCAGTGTCTTTTTATTGTTATTATAACATTTATCATCAGTTTGTTGAGTAGAAGGAGGGTTATCCCAAGCCCATTATCAATATACAAATATAAAAAAACAACTATAACCGTATTCGTAAAACAAGTTATGGCCAAGATAAATTCAAACAATAACCATTCTTTAAAAAAAATGTTTCATTAGTATTAGTTTAAACGATGCACTAGGGCTTATGTTTTCAATCCTGTCAGATGGTCACAAGTTCACAAACCATGTAAATTACCAAGAATAGACAACTAATAGGCATTTATATTGGAGATTGCAGACTGACCAAACTTCACTCTGCAATTTTGACCTGTTGTAAACCTCACAATGAATGAGATGCTGGGCGACAACAAATTCATGAATTCTACTTGTATGATTCATAAAAGCTCGAATGTTGATCAAACCATCATAAATCCATTTCGTTATAAAACACCTGCGGTTTACTTTAGTTAGTTTCCAAAATGCCTGGCATTCGTTTACTTTTATTTTACGAATTAATATTTAGTATAATTTTCAATCTTAGTTATCTGTGTGTCCCTTTACAAACAATTAGACATTAAATGATAGTAGGCCTTATTATGTATGAAATTTCAATTTATCCAAACACTTAGAAGCTCCTCATTAACATTCAACTAAAATGCATATATTTTGATACATTGTTCAGGAAGGTTAACTTCCTGTATGATAGTAAATGTCCGTGGGAGAAAAACATCATAACATTAGAAAATTCCAATTATAGGTGGAGACAATTTTACCGGATGTTCGACAAGCTCTTAATTATTGTTCACGTACGCCTTAATTATAAAGTATCATGCCTACACAGTTAAGTGTGCAAGCAGGTAATTCGCTTGAGAGAATGTGAACTTTCTGATGCAGAGATATTTGTTTTCTAATGAAACCATGCAGGAGCAAATAGTTCGTGTTTTCTTTTTTGTTATGTTTTTCTTCACATGTATGGTTCATGTACCTTCAGTTGTTTGTTTACGGAAAAAATAAATACTTATCTTTTCCCGAGTTTATCTAAAAATAACACAATCCTACCACAAGACAACTGTACAGGAAAGATGGCAAGATGAACTGGATGTTTCGGAAAACAAGATAATCAGGAATAGATATCATCACGTTTCATTAGTTTTTCTCCTTCCGCTGAGCCATACAAGATAACATATCTCCACAAGATGAGAGAAAACAGCTCCAAATATCCTGTACGTGCATGTGCAGCATCAACAATGTACGTATAGCTAAACACGAGATCTGGACTGAAATAATCCAAAGTTCTGATCATTCCTTTAATTAGAATCTACCTATTCTTAGCGTTGCTACTACTTATACTCGATTAAATATCAGGATATCACGTTGTTTATTTTGGGTATTTAGGTGTGTATATTTTATTCTGTGTTTACCACTGTAACGTTGTTTCAGGGATATAAAGTAATAACACAACTGTGTATCTGCTCTTGTGTAATGTTCTAATGCTAAGAAACGTTGATATCAGCTATGAAATATATATAACAATAACTTTTTGTTAACGAATATTTTATGGCAATATCACTGTATAGAGGGTTCACAGTATTTTATAAAAACAATTTGTATAGACAGTAACGTTTTGCTTCAAATGAGAAACCGTAGCTCCACGATTCATAAATTTGTCCACGGCAAATTTCCGACCATTCAACAGCACAATGCCTCCAAAGACTAGGAGATTGGTTTTATACATCTTTCCAGAAGTGATAGTTGTGTTGCGAAATAGCAAAGAGGTACAAAACCCAGAACACATCGATATGAAAGACGACCACCTGTGACATAGTACATAATATTGGCAAGGGAAGATAAGCAGTACCTGTGACATAGTAAATAGCATCAGCAAGGGAAGATCAACACAAACTGTGACATAATAAGTAGTACTGACAAAGGAAGATCGGCAATATTTATGACATAGTAAACAGTATTTGCAAGGAAAGATCAGTACAACCTATGACATAGTAAACAGTATTTGCAGGGAAAGATCAGTACAACCTATGACATAGTAAACAGTATTTACAAGGAAAGATCAGTACTACCTATGACATAGTAAGTAGTATCGGGAAGGGTAGATAAGCACAACCTATGACATAGTAAACGTATTGGCAAAGGAAGATTCGCACTACCTATGACATAGTGAGAAGTATTGGCAATGGAATATTAGCACTATATATGACATAGTGAGTACTATTAGTAAAGAAAGATCAGTACTACCAATGACAAAGTAAGTAGTATTGGTAATAGAATGTTAGCACACCTATAGAAGAATGTGAAATCATTTAAGCAATATGGTTATATCTAAAGCATCGTTTTCAAGAACCACGATGAACAATAATGTTTTTTTGTTCAAGCCATTCACTTCTCCAACGTAGCAGTAACGCTCTATGACTGAACACCCAAGGATATGTTTTCTTTAACTGTGGTCTTGGAAGCGAACGTCTTCTTAGAGTGCAGAGTATGTGTCTTAGTATGTATGGTCCAACGTAAACCTGAGAACGATCGACAGTTAAGAAGTAATGTCAGAACATGGAACAATATTATTATAAACGGATGCTGTCAGATACTTAATATCAAAGAGCACAGCTTAGCTTACAACTTCGTATAATACCAACACAAATCAAATATCTATCATCGTCACCTTTCTTATAGATCAATTCCTGTTTAATTTACTCTTGAAATCGTACTATATTTTCTGTTAATTATGTTTTGATATTCTAACCATTTAAGGCCGAAAATATCGTTCTTAGCAGGAACATACAGCTGTTGAATCAGTGCATTGTAATATTTATAAGTCTTGTTAGCTGTCTTTTGTGTTAAGTTACGGCATATTACATCACTGATTGAATTATTTGGTAAAGTTTACTTACGATCTATAGAGTTATCTGAAGTTATTGAAAATCTGTGTATCTTTCTGTGACTGCTTGTTGTGAAAGTCTTTCTGGTCATGATTTTGAAGACATGATATTTTTAAAGCATACTGTAAGCTTAAATCACATACATGATAAAGCTCAACTCCTGAGGAAATATTTCATTCATATTAATTTGTGTAAAATTAGTGTTTTTATGTGTTGGCACCTTACGATTATGGAGTAATTAATAAATATTGAAATTATAAAACTATTCTATTTGGGTAAATGTATTCAACAGCACAATGCTGTAATTATTAACTTGGTGTAAGTGCGTATATTTGTTTGATGTATTTAACAGGAAAAGGTAGGGATGTTAATTTGTGTAAGAGCATGTTTTTGTTTCATACATTCAGGAGGGATGTTAAAACTAAACAGGGTTTTCTGTCATATTCACTGCATATAAACATAATTTACTTGTGAAAGTCACTGAAAACAACTAACTATGCGAAACAGTTTTGTACATATTGATTTGAACGACTATTCACATGTTTTTGTCAATTGTGAAGAGCACCTAGATCATCTTGATCCCCTGTCGCGGAGGAAGTATGCAATAAGAAATATTTCGAACATTTTATTGCATATACTTATTCTAATAAATCCTTAAATATCCATGCCATAGCTCAAATAAATCAGATTGTTAGGTATAAAAGACTGTTTAGTGTAGGTAGTATTAATCAATTTATTTTGTGATTTAATATTTCATGATTGTTTAGTTGTTGTTTTTTATAATAACAAAGTTAAAAGCAGACGATTGCTGAAAGTTAAGTTTGTAAGTCATTGATGTCGAGGCTACTGAGATTTCTAGAACGCCTCAGTGAGAGATATAAAAAAAGCGCCGATCAGACAGCCAAAAGTAAAGCCGAGTGAAAGAGAGTTTCGGTCAGAGAAAAGTTATAAAACGTAAAGTTAACCGTCGTAGAAGTGAATAGCCTAACGGTTGATATGTTAAAGTGAGATTAATAGTTTTTTGATATTTTAGGAGAATAATTTGTCTCGTCAAAGAGTGTTCTAAGGCAACTGAACCTTCCTGTGTGGACTTTAACAAAAAGCAGACGATTATTTGGAAGTAGGCCTAAATACGAAAAAGCAGACGAGTATCGGAAGTTCAGGATACAACTACGGTAACTCGCGAGGCATCGTAAGTGAATTAGACACCGATACTGTTGTGATAAAAGAGAGAGAGAGAAGAAAAGGAATAAGTGAATTATACACTAATAGTGTTTAAGATAAAAAAATAGAGAAAAATAGTTCGGCTTGTCAACTGAATTATAAAACAATTGAATTGGCCTAAGTGGACTTTTGACAAGAAGAACAGAACTATATAGTATTTATGATATAACCATGATGTCCATATATGTAAGGAATGTTTGTACTTACGTTTAACTTGTACATTATTTTAAAACAAGCGGAATGCAGGCTGTTCATTATCGTCTAACTTAACGCCAACACCCCCCAATATATTTTAACTTACTAATATATACTACCAAAATAGTAAGTTTTCTGACACATATGGTTCTCAACTTTCAAAATTTTCAAAATTCGAATTCATATCATAGTTTTGACAATTTTCAAGTTAATCGGTTGTAGGAATCTCAAATATTCTCCAAAGCTTTTGTTCTTCATTCCTAACACGTACGTTTGTTAATTGTACGCTGATATGGAATAATCTTTCTCAACATTTTTTATTTAGTGTTTGTGCAAACTTAGTACTTGTCATTATTGTGATAAAATATAGAAACAGAAGCTTGTAAAGTTTAAATGGATTGTGTGGAAGTTTGTTTTAGAACTTTCTTACCGTTTAAAAAGAACACTGAAATTCCGGTGGCCTCGGCATTCGAAGGGCTACAAGTGTAATTTCCTGAGTCAGTCGGCTGAGCATCTCTTATGTAAAGTGTACTGATTGCAGCGTCATCACCCCATTTATGGAGGGAAATCATCCCCCTTTCTGTGTCGTAATTGATCATTCGATCGTTGTGGTACCAGAAGACGAAGACAGGTAGCTCAGGGCTGTCACTGATCACGCATGTCAAGTTGATGGAAGTTCCTGTTTTCACGTATAGAGGGTGAGCACCAAGTATCTCAGCTATTGGTTCTGAAAAATCCAAGTCGCTTCATTAAATTACTTTTGTTTAAATTAAATCCTACTTCTTAACATAAAACTCATCTGCTCTGGTTTGGATCATTATATTTAGATAGTAACAGTTGTGTAGGTTATTTTTTCCCTGTCATTAAAGGAATGTTATAAAAAGCATATTAACTTTATACTTGTTTATTTGAAGTTAAGCACAAAGCTACAAAATCGGATATCTGTGCTCTGCCCACCACGGGTATCGAAACCCGGCTTCTACCGATGTAAGTCCTCAGACATACCGCTGTGCCACTGGGAAACAACTTTATACAAATCTTACTTATGCTTGATAGTAATATATTTAAATCACATACCTACCAAATGAAAAATTTAGTTAGTTGTTTTTATTATGAACGTTTTCGTTTTTTCTCCAGCACAGCCTCATTGTTATTAAATATGAGTACCAGCACGTTTATATTAAGAAAGCGCTAAAATATTAGCCTGCCTTTCAATATTGGGACGTTGGAATTAAATCTCCACTACGTACGTTTGCTGTAAAATGCACATTTTGAATTCTATTTCAATACAAACGAAAGAAGCATATCAAAATACAGCTTTCAAATGTACTATTTTAACGTTTCCATGATTATCGTGTACTAGTCTATAAGTCTGGACACACAGTTTCTGAAATAATCGTTATGATGTAAAATATCCTGTAGTTTGCGAAGTATGTTTGTTTGTTTTGAATTTCGCGCAAAGCTACACGAGGATTATCTACGCTAGTCATCCCTAATTTAGCAGTGTAAGACTAGAGAGAAGGCAGCTAGTCATCACCACCCACCGCCAACTTTTGGGCTACTCTTTTACCAACGAATAGTGGGATTGACCGTCACATTATAACGCCCCCACGGCTGAAAGGGCGAGCATGTTTGGTGGGACGGGGATTCGAACCCGCGACCCTCAGATTGCGAGTCGAGCTCTCTAACCACCTGGCCATGAGGGGCTTTTACGAAGTAACGAATACTTAGTGTTCAGTGTAAATATTATCATCACACAATATTCAGTGTAACAACTGTGCTGTTTAAAGTATTTATCACACTGTTTCCAGGGTATCACAACTCTTTAAAGGATTACTATCACACAGTTTTTAAAGCTATCCCCATGCTATTCACAAGCTTACCAATGTAGAATTTCTATCATTACAAACACACATATCTGACAGCAAATTCCACGCAGTTTTCATAGTTATCATGACGTGATTTTATTAAGGCATTTTTTTATTGTTTTATTTATTGCAACGCTACTGAATAGGACAAGTGCGGTCTATCTACCACAGAGAATCGAACTCAGGATTTTAACGATGCCAGTTCGCAAACGAACTCACAAGAAGCCTAATTAAGGTTTATAGGACTGCCAGTAAACGAAAAGTCGTAAATTTTGTTTTTACTCTATTATTTATAATTGATTAGATAATAATAATTATTTAAAATAAAATCATTATTCTATTACTCATTTCAGTATTATAGAACCCTGAAGTAAAAATCTACTTTCTCAAATGAATAAAATTACCTAACACTAACTAGTACATCAACTCAGACTTAAGACTATGCGCATTCACTTATCATTATTTAAATACATATTACGTTTATCATAAGTGTCCACTAGTTATAGCTGTAAATTAATATTGTCAATTACATCACATATTCTCCAACAACGATATGAAATTTTTTCTCAGCAATTATGTTGTAAAATATTTTTTTGATATTTTCTCATTATGCTTGTTATGTTTCTTTTCAACTGACTTCCTGATTGAAACGACTTTTTGACTTTAGTTATACAGTGAGATATACAAAATCATAACTTTATTTAAAACAACCAATTAAAAATTAGTTTCATTAAAACACTAGCAGTACATAATGACGTAGCCTAGAGGTACCCTATAGCTCACGATTACAATTACTTTTAACTTCAAAAGTTAGAGTTTACCAGCCCAAGCGTTTGGAGAAATAGTTATAATTTAGATAATAGAAAGCTTGTTTTTCTATTTATTTATTAAATAGTTATACTTTAGATAATAGAAAGCTTGTTTTTCTATTTATTTATCAAATAG